CCGCCATGACGCTGGCGGAGACGCTCCGGGACACGTGGGGGGAGGGCCGGGCCGCGCTTCCGCTTACCCACAATGCCCCGCCCCGCGCGGGCCCGCCCTTCCCTCCGCCGGCCGGGCGGCTGGCGAGCGCGCGGCAGGCAGCAGGCGGCAGGGGGCGCCGGAGCAAAACGGGTGCGGAACAAAACCAGAGCTCTGGCAGCGGTGGGATTCGAACCCACGCCCCCGAAGAGACTGGAGCCTTAATCCAGCGCCTTAGACCGCTCGGCCACGCTACCTAGCTGTGAAGCGAGGCTCCAAAAAGGTCCTAAATGTCTTCGCATGCGTTTAATTTCTCTAGATTATCCTCTGAAGTTTCTTCAATGTATGTCTTGTTAGATTCCAATAAATATTTGTAATTTGCCATCTATTTGAAATAAAATGCTTGCTTCAATATTTGAAGCTAAAATTATTGGCGATGGGTTTTAGAACGAAAAGTAGATTCTTAAAAGAATCTGTGTTCTGAATCAGACCGTTATCCTCGGAGGTCCTTCTGCTCAACCCTAACTCAGCGACCCCCAAGAGTCGGTTAGCTGCGTCCGGACAGAAGATTGATCCCGCAAGGAGCGCGCCTGGGCGGGGGCCCTGACGTCTGCTCGCTGGGCAGATCTCTCCAAAAAACGACGAATTTAAGCTGCTGGTTGCGTTAAAAGATAGTTGGCGGAAGGGATAATCTTTGACCTTTGGCTCCCAACCTACCTCCTTCGCAAAAGTAACCATATGCCCGCAGATCGCTTCTGTGAAGGTGGTGCATGCATACTTACCTCCACCCGGAAAGTTGTTTTTCATCGTGTATGAGTTGTTGTGTAAATACACTGTTAGTTCGTCGCTCCCCATTTGGCAGTGTTTTTCTCCAGCCTGTGCTTTTAAATATCTAGTCCTCTTCATGTGTACATGGATATTTGAAAAGACCCGGAAAATATAATGAAAAAATAATCATCTGTATTCCCATGACCCAAAATGAAGTTTACTGTTAATATTGAGGCATTTTGGTTTCCAAATCTTTTCCCTCTGCGTAAACTTTTTATTAAAAGTTACAGGAGTAATGTTATGAATATGTTGTCCTTTTAAAAATGTATCAGGCTGTTAGGACATCACAAGTAAAGTCCTCCAAACGTCCTTACGTGTGCCTGTGAATTTGATGTATGATTTCCAGTAATTGCTATACTTTTCCTTAAGCGCATTCATGAACGGCACATACTATGGTTTCCTGAATGTGATAACGTTGTGTGCGCATCTTCCTAAGATTGGGACGCTTTGCTCACTAAAAAAATAAATAAAATGTGCTGCTTTCACTGCAGCCTACTTTGTAGGCCTCTTATGCTAATTCACTCCAGGATGTGGCCGACACTGTCCCTGGATTCTCCTCCTGTCATGCCATACCACGTGGCACAGTAGCTCTGCACCTGGCTCCAGGACAGACACCAGAACTGGAATTGCTGTGTCGTGCATGTTTTCCATGTCACGTGTTGCCAAACTATATGGTCTTCGGAGACCGTTTTTCTCTTTTTTCCAGGTTTTTTACTTCTTCTGGAGTCGCTTTCAGTGTTATTCTGAGAAAGCACTTCCCCTGGCTTTCCGCACACATCTGTGAAGCAGATCAAGGCCACCACATCGCTGCAGGGCTGTCCTTCCACGGGCGCCAGGCAGTGGCCCAAGCCCTGGTGGTCCTGTGGCCGCATCCCTGGCAAGCCACATGGAGAACTCTGGCTTCGCCTGATGTTCATTGCCCTTCTCGGTGCCTTCCCGGGATGCCCTGGGGGACACCTCCTGACAGCGGGGCTCCCATGGTCCTCTTACTGCAGTGCTTCCTTAGTCCAGTTTATTTTGTTCTGTTTTCTTCATCCACTTTCAACATATTTGCAAAGACTTCATTGTTCTCCCAGCTTGTTGGGCTTTTTGTCTGTTGGTTTGGGTTTCTGAGACAGTGTGTCACCATATGGCCCAGGCTGGCCTCCAGCTCCTAGCCACTCTCCTGCCTCAGTTTCCCCAGAGCTGGGATCACAGGCCTAAGACACCACTGCTTTTAAAGGAAGAGTTTGTTGAGTTTTTGTTTGTTTGTTTGTTACTGGAGATTGAACTCAGGACCTTGTGCTTGCCAGGCAAGTGCTTATGCCACCAAGCTACTTCCTGGCCATTCAAGGAATTTTTAAAATATAGGATTAAAAAAAAAAAAAAACAGGATCAAGCTGGGAATGGTGGTGTAAGAGGGCTGAGGCAGGAGGATCACCAAAGGTTCGAGGTTAGCCTGAGCTACCTAGTGAGTTCAAGGCTAGCCTGCACAAAAATGGAGACCCTGTCTCAAAACAAATCAAAAAATACAAGGAGCGACCATCTATTGAAGGCACAGGCTATGCAAATAGAAGTCAGACAGCAGTCACCTCTGTCCAGGGTGGGGTAGGGCTGTACAGCTGGGGACGGTGGCCAGGGAGCTTTTTGTGGCATATAAATATTCTGTATGTTCACCTGGGCAGCTGGACTAACGTATCTACATATGTGACAACTGGTAAGCTGTGTACGTAGAGATTATGCAAGTTACTCTGATGAAGTAATCATATAATTAAAAATAAAAGTTTTAGGACCCTTACCAAGTTCAGATCTTGCAACTAATCTCAGTGGGTTTTCACTTGCAACAAGACCAGGTAAAATAACATTTTTTCTTTCAAAATTTTATTGATAAACAGCAATGAGATAATTTCAAATCAAATCGGAAGTACAGGTTCAACAAATAATACACTGCATATATTCTTCTTAGTGGTTAATTGCTGTACAAGTAAAATAACATTTTGACATATGTCACACTTAAACTGCCGGAAACGTTTTTTACCCCTTTTTCTTTTGGGGTCTGCTATACAGTTTGGCCTGGCCTTGAGCTCACTTTGTAGCCGAGGCCCCGAAATCTTCATGATGCCCTGCCGCAGCCTCCCGAGGGCTGAGATTACAGGTGTGCGCCCCCGTGCCCGGTTCCTTCTAGTCTTTAGGGCTCTTTTCTTCCCCAAAGGGAACCATCTCTCAATCTGTTGTTTTTGCTTTCCTGGCATCCCCTTTCCTGTTTTCTGGTTGACTATCCCTTATCTAAAATAGCTGGGATCAGAAGCATTTCAGAGTTTGGATTCTGGAGTATTTATGTATATAGAATATATTTTGGGGAGAGGACCCAAGTGTAAACACAGAATTCACATGGTTAATATACTGTTTACTTTATATACACTTATGCAGTTTGGTTTTATTTTGGTATCAGGAATTAAACTCAGGATCTTGTACTTGCCAGGCAGACGCCTGTGTCCCCCGCTATGCAGTATTCCTTTTTTTTTTTTTGGGGGGGGGGTGGAACCAGGGATTGAACTCAGGCCCTTCACTTGCCAGGGAAGCGCTTATTCCACTGAGCCATCTCCCCGGTCCCTACGCAGTATTCTTAA